AGGGCGGGAGGTGTCGGTGATGGGCCATAATAATCATATACATTGTATATTGACAAAATAAAAATTAAAAAAAAAAAAAGGTAACTTTACTGAATGTATGGTAAGAATCCTTTCAACGCAGAATTGTATCATTGTCAAACCATTTTTATGCTTGCAGTGTGCCAGATACTTTTCTAAGCACTTTATGAATATTAACTCATTTAATAATGGTCCCTTTTAGGTGGAAATGCTTATCATTCTCATTTTATATATGGGTTAAGAGAGGCACAGAGAAATTGAGTAACTTGCCTAGAGCCACACAGCTAGTGAGTGGCAGGGCTGGGAGTGAGCCCTGGCAGGCTGACTCCAGAGTTGGCTCTTAGCCTCTGTGCTGCCTTTCCAGTGTGTTAACACACATACACGCACACAACTTTTTAATTTTTAATTATAAAGTAATGCCCAGTGTAAAAAGTTCAGAAAACACAGAAAAAGAAGAAAACACATGAAAATACTACCACTAAGAAATTTTGTTAAGATACTGGTATTTATCTTTCTGTACAGTTTTCTCTGCAGCTGTACTATGCCATGTGTTAGCTTTCAGCAGGTGGTAGGGGTGGGCAAATTGTTTGGGGATGCGTTTTATTTCTCACTTTGTGAATTTTTCTTTGTTGTATTTATTTTACTATCTCGTTCTTTCAGTTTATGTTACTGTATCAAAAAGAGTTCTTGTATTCTGGAGCACTGTAGCTCTATTCAAAATAGATTTAGATCCACTCGTTTGTTTTTTTCCATTGTTTTATATCATTATAAAAATTGATTGACTTGGAACTAAAATAGTCAATAAATATCTGTTGTAGCCATTGTTCTATCCTGAATAGTATTGAGATCTTGCAGGTAGATTTAACTCGTTGGTAATCAGGGAAAGATAATTAAATAAGAAAGTTCGCTTGAGGTTTAGTCAGTGACTTCATCTTAAAGACCAGCGTTGAAGTTCTCTAGGGTGGTTGGCTCAAATCTGCCATCACTGCAGTCTCATTTTCCTCTGAGAGTCTAGGACCACACATCAACCTCACTGAGCAGAAGGGCCTTGGAAGCCTCAAGTCCCAGGCTTCCTTGTTGTAAATAATGTCTTGGAACTTATATTCCAGACAAACTAGATGCAGACTACATCAAGAGATACCTGGGTGATTTGACTCCACTGCAGGAGAGCTGCCTCATTAGACTTCGCCAGTGGCTCCAGGAAACCCACAAGGGCAAAGTGAGTATTGTTACCCAGTGTACAGGAGTGGTTTCTATGAAATCATGGACTCTCTGGTCTTGTCCACAGTTACTAAGGGCAAAGAGTCCCAAATGCCGTAGCTGGGAATGTTCCGTCCCAACTAAAAGTCATTGAACTTGAATCTCTGGGTGTGGCATCTAAGTCCTTTGTGGCAAGTTATGGTGCCATTCCATGTATAATTAGCTGTATTTTTCTAGGCTTTACGGAGAATAATCTAGCTTTAAAACAAATGTCAGGGGATAAAGCAACAATGTGTTACAAGTATTCATACATTTTAATTTTCAGAAGGTTTGGAAGGAGTTCAGGTATTTATCAGACATTAGAAATGTTTGAGTGTTAATTTGGGGGGTTTTAGTGAAATTTTAGCTTCATAAGGAATTAGATTTTTATAATCTTTATGTAGCAAGCAGAGGCTGGTTTATTTTATTTTTATTTTTAGGTGGCTGGCCTGTAAGGGGATCCCAACCCTTGACCTTGGTGTTATCAGCACCACTCTCTAACCAAGTGAGCAAACCAGCCAGCCTAGTTACTGACATTTAGTAATGGGAAGCTAGGCATTGCATATGTAATTGGCCTAATCTCTAATTCTGTCAATCCTGGTTACTAGAGACCAAATATTTGTGTACAGTCGGCCCTCCATATCCACAGATTCCACGTCCATGGATTTAACCAACCACAGATTGAAAATATTTGGGAAAAATAAATAAATAAGTAAAAATAACAATACAACAACAACAAAAATACAGCATAACTACTTACATACCATTTATATTGTATTAGGTATTATAAGTAGTCTAGAAATGATTGAAAGATACAGGAGGATGTGCATAGGTTGTATGCAAACAGTACACCACCTTATATAAGAGACTTGAGCATCCTCAGATTTTGGTATCCGCAGAGGGTTCTGGAACCAAACCTTGCTGATACCAAGGGATGACAGTACTGTTTATTACTGATTATTGAGAAAGCAACCACAGTAATCACAGCTGTCATTTATTACTTACCATGTACAGTTACATGTTGCTTAACAATGGGGATACACTCTGAGAAATGCGCTGTTAGGCGATTTTGTCATTACGCAAACATCAGAGTGTGTCCTTATGCAATCCTAGGTGGTATAGCCTACTACACACCTAGGCTACATGGTATAGCCTGTTGCTCTGACCATCGCTGTGTATGTGGTCCGTCATTAACTGAAATGTCATTATGTGGTGCATGACTGTATTAGACAGTATTTTAAGCTCTTTATTAAATCTTCCCAGCAGCCCTATGAGGTGGTGTTATTTTTATCACATGTGTTTTACCTGTGAGGAAACTGAGGCACAGAGGATTTAAGTAACTTGCCCAAGATCTTACAGCTAGTAAGTGGTGAGGACAAGATTTGAACCCAGGTCATTCAGTTCCAGAACTTACATTCTTTTTTTTTTTTTTTTCTTTCCTTTTTTTGTCTTTTTTCATGTCCGGCAACGGACTGCAACCCCCAGGGTCGCACCCGGACCGGGACCGGCAACAGGATTGCGACCCTCGGTGCCGCACCCGCCCCTCGCTCAGCCAGTGAGCGGGAACCGGTCTGTATGTGGGATCCGAACCCTCGGCGGGAGCGCCACCGCGCTCCCCAGCGGCGCACTGTAGCAGTGCACCACCGGGCCGGCCCCAGAACTTACATTCTTTTTTTTTTTTTTTCTTTCCTTTTTTTGTCTTTTTTCATGTCCGGCAACGGACTGCAACCCCCAGGGTCGCACCCGGACCGGGACCGGCAACAGGATTGCGACCCTCGGTGCCGCACCCGCCCCTCGCTCAGCCAGTGAGCGGGAACCGGTCTGTATGTGGGATCCGAACCCTCGGCGGGAGCGCCACCGCGCTCCCAAGCGGCGCACTGTAGCAGTGCACCACCGGGCCGGCCCCAGAACTTACATTCTTAATCCCTTCTGTATGTACAACTGCAGTCCTTTCTGAGTGGAGATAATGAACAGATAAGTAGGCCATGTGCCCTAAGTGACTTCCCATGGTCCTGCTCACTTCTTGGTGTTCTGATGGTCCAGCCGCCTCAGTCAGTGATTGTGGCCATGGAGGAAGGCGCCTGGTCCAGTTGAGACTTGGAGCACGGCCTTGTTCTTCATTCAGGGGTGGCCTGTCAGTTGACAGCGTTGGAATCTAGAGAGAAGTCCTGATGTTAGCAACACCAGCACGTTACCAAAACCAGCATATGTTTGTATTCTAACTTTTTTTATTTAAGTGTAATATATATAACAGAAAAGTACATAGATCATAATTATTCATAGGTCAGCATGTAGAATTGAAGCATTTAAGAAGTTATTTTTGCCTTTGATTTACTTTGCTGAAACTAAAGTGAAATACAGTAATGATTATTCAAACTAATAAGACCGATTTTCTAAAGCTTAAAGAAGATTTTTCTGTTAACTGCTTATTTTAAATATGTAATAATGCAGCTCACTGTTGATAAGAAGTGGGAGTTTTATAGTCGTATTCTCTTAGCAACTTGGTGTTTTTCCTGAATGACTTTTAACATAGCTTAGAAACATCTTTTTTTCTTAATAGATCCCAAAAGATGAGCATATTCTTCGGTTCCTACGTGCTCGGGATTTTAATATTGACAAAGCCAGAGAGATTATGTGTCAGTCTTTAACATGGCGGAAGCAACACCAGGTAGACTACATTCTTGATACCTGGAACCCTCCCCAGGTCCTTCAGGATTACTACGCAGGAGGCTGGCATCATCATGACAAAGGTGAAACAGTCTGTGTTTCTGTCTCTCTGTCTTGATGTGTCATTACAGACATCCTTAGACATCTCCTTCCATAGAGTTAAGTGGGGCTCTAGGGAGTGCATTGTCCCTCCGCATTCTGAGGATTTGGAAGCTTTCCCCAGCTTGAGCAAACTGATGCTAAGTTTCACGAGGGGCAGCTCCCTTCCCACTCTGGCAGCCAAGGAGGGGCCTGTGACTCTGCTTCTTCCTCATAGACTCACATTGCCCCTGGGCCAGTGACCACACTCCCTTTTTTAGTTCAGTGGAGTTTAATATGACCTATTAAAAAACTGAAGTGTTTGGAGAGAGTTTTTTCAATAACACGGTGCTATTAAAGGAGCTCTACATGACTTAAACCCCTGTAATATAGCTGGAAAAATGTTTAGCCAGATTTTCTACATCAAAACAGTGAAGAACTTCAAATCTGCTTTGGAGAGTAAGCAAAGCACAGGTGAAGGATTGCAGTACACCTAAAATGAATAATGATGTAAGTGAGAAATTTAAAACATGGTTCGTCTGCATTGCTTTACATATTGTGCCTTGCTGGAAGACCTGTATTGTCAAAGATGTGCTCTCTATTTCCTGTATAGCCGGACAGAATGGAATCGCAAACGTTGTAGAGAGGCCACAGGGATTACTGTAGAATTGGCTCCCTCTTCTGCCTCTGAATAAGTCCTTTCAAAACTGGGTAGCTCCAGTTTGTCTGTTTTTCTGACGTAATCTTTCGTATTTCTTTGGATTAATTATAGCTTTATTAACTTTTATAAGAAGTGTGTAATATATATAATTATCCCACTTAGAGACTCAACCATTAAAAAGTTAACAAGTTTGGTAGTAAGACATTGACAAATGTGTCTTATTAAATGTTGGAAGAAACTTTTTTCTGAGTGGAGATAATGAACAGATAAGTAGGCCATGTGTAAATTTGCCTTTCAACAAGATTTGCGAGCACAAAAAAATGTTTTGCTTTGCATAGAACAGGTCTAGAGCCAGATTCTCCTAGGAGGTAAAGTTTAGGTAAATACAATTTACTAGGTGGTAAATACAAGATAAATGTTGGGCCCCGCATGTCAAGATGATATTGCTGATTCAACAGAAGACAAAGTATTTGCTTTTCAGGAGCATGATCTGTCCGCATTCTTTCTGCCACTCCCCTTTGTCACTGTATGGCAAGAGTCTAGAGAGTGCTGATTCTAGGGATACACTCTGGCCACTGCGATCTTTTTCCCCTCTGTAGCTGGCCCATGATGACAGGGAGTTAGGTAATGAGTGAGGTTCCTCTCAGGCTCCATCCATTAGACCTCCAGGCTATAAAGAGAGTCAACATGTGCTGGTTTGGTATGGATTTAAGGATTTCCAGAATGTTCTTATTTATCTTGGTCCTTAGAGTAGGAATTGAGGGAGACTGGCTTTTAAAAAATCTTGACATTAACTTTTTAGTAACCTATGAAATAAATTTTTTTTTCTAAGAAAGGAAATTTTAAAAGTATATTCATAGAATAAGTGTCTGTGGCTATTCTGATGTTCCCCTGCTGTTGAAAATCTTAAGTGAGGAGTCTGAGCCCAGCAATGCCCATAGTCGCTACAGGCAGTTAGAGCTGAGTACAGGCTGAGCTCCAGCATGGCTCCCCCATCCTGGCAGAGCTGTCTCCAGGACCCTGCTAAAGATGCTCCATCACTTAGCTTTTGTTTTTTCTTTTACAATTTTGGGGGAAAATATAGGACACCCCACCACTACACATAGAAATTGTTGCTGCTTCTAAGAATAGGAAAGAACTTGGAGCTCATCTAGAATATAGGAGAGCACATTTCCTTGTTCAGGTTCTTGGCGTTGTATCCTCACCTTCACATCAAGGGTGGTGCTGATAATACCTTTCCTTCCCTCTCCTGTAGATGGGCGGCCTCTCTATGTGCTCAGGCTGGGGCAGATGGACACCAAAGGCTTGGTGAGGGCCCTCGGAGAGGAGGCCCTGCTGAGATACGTAAGTGCTCAACTGTGGGGCCGCCGGGCTCTATTTGGGCTTTGCACTTTCTTTGTCTGCCAGCAGGATTGGAATATTTCAACTGACCTTTTATAACGAGCATGTATTACTTTTGCAGTTAGAAAGAAAAATCTCTTACTATACTTAAAAATTTCAAAAGAGGACATAAAAGTTATAAAAATGTTTTTCACAGTCAGTAAAATAATCAATTGATCCACTCGAGATGCCTCCTTAGGAGCTGATTCTGAGCATCTGTTTTACCTTCACTCCACATTGAATTGGTCCCGACCTCCCTCCACATCAGACCTCTTGATAGTGTTCTTTTCACTGGCACTTCCTTAATGCAGGCTCTTAGCATCTTTCATCTGGACTGGTACAAATGACTGCTGACGTGTCATCTCCCTGTCAACAGTCCCATCCCTTCCACTGAAGCCTCTGGTGTTGGCAGCTATGTTTCTCCTCTCCAGAGAAGAATGTGGTTCTTAAATTTAAAAACAAACAAAAATTTTAAAAGGCACATATGTAATCTCATTATGGCATAGTATCCGCTGTTGGTGTTTCATTGTATATTCTGTTAGTACCTCCCCCAGCTATGCGTGTTTATAGGTGCATGCACACATATCCACATGTTCATACACACACATGTGAAAATGTGGATGGACTTCTTCTGTAGGGGAAGGATCTGGTAATCCCAGTTGAAGCCTGCTCTTAAGCTATACTGTAAGGCCGTCCTTTCTCTTGGCTGGTACGTACAGTGTCAGAATGTTCTCACACTTCACAGACACTCATCCAAATGTGTTACAGATGCGCCTGCTCTGAAGACACATCCCCAGATTGTGTCCACCCCACTGCTCTGGTGACTCCTCTGGTAAGGCCGTCCTTTCTCTTGGCTGGTACGTACAGTGTCAGAATGTTCTCACACTTCACAGATACTCATCCAAATGTGTTACAGATGCGCCTGCTCTGAAGACACATCCCCAGATTGTGTCCACCCCACTGCTCTGGTGACTCCTCTGAAGTGTTGCTCCGCTTAGGATAGCTTTTATCTTTGCCATTTACTCTCTTGAGAGTAAAGTATTCTTTGTTGGTGATATGTTTAGTGTCTGTGAATGAGTCAGAAGATCTAGTAGGTGGCTTTTTTTTGTTTTTCACACTTACCTGTAACGTGCTGTACTAATGTCACTCTCTTTCATAGCTTGATGCAGGAGGCTTACCTCATACTGAACTCTTACCGTCCTTTTATGCATAGGTGCTCTCCATCAATGAAGAAGGGCTAAGGCGATGTGAAGAAAATACAAAAGTTTTTGGTCGGCCTATCAGGTAGGTGTGGGATTTTCGTTTTTCCTTTCCTCTTATTTGAGAATATGAATTGAATATTTCTAGTTGATTTTTCGAATCCAAACCTGGTAGTTTCCTGTTTTCCAAGGTGTTCTAAAAGGTAGGAAATAGGTAAACTTGTAATACGGTCAGTTGTGAGGTGCAGTTGTGGACGTTACTATTTCCTGCCCCTGGGCATGGCCATCACGTCAGTCTGAGTGGGTTGGCCCATCTGGCTCATCTGTGCTCCTTGGGAGCCCAGGGTTGCAGGTGGTTTGCTTGCTTGTTTTGGCCCGCCCTCCCCCTACCCCCCAATTATTCTTTGTTCCTAAACTATACTTCTGGTTACAGAAAACTGTTCTGAAAATGTGCAGTGATTCAGAAGTCAACATTAGAAGGGTATAGTGGTTGAAGAGAATATGAGTTCCATGAAGGCAGGGGCTTTGAGGGGTTTTTTGTTCACTGCTATATTCTTGGCTCCTGAGATGGTGCTTGGCTCAATAAAATATTTGTTGAAGAAGAGAGAGCTCATTGCAGTTCAAACCCAGTGAGTGTTAAAGTGACCTATGTGTGCCCCGTTGACAGCGGGTCAGCATGGGCTTAGCATGGCAAGGATAGCACAGTGTGGCCCTGCTTGCTGAGCCACAATGCTGCCTGAGCACCTCAGAGAGAGGTTCTTATGCATTGTCAATTACCTACTGATGGCTCTGGTATTTCAGGGGTTGGTTCTACCACACCAACCCTATGTGTTTTATATAAGTACATATAAATATAGTTCATAGCACTGTAATTTTAAGAAACCAGTATGTGTTTTGAAATGGCTTTAAATTGCTGTTCTGTAATACCAAAAAGAAAAAAATTAAATACAGGACACAGTTTGCTAAGTATGCCGTCTATTGAATCAAACATATCTGCACACAACCTGCAGTTCATGGACCTGCCTGGTGGACCTGGAGGGGCTGAACATGCGCCACTTGTGGAGACCTGGTGTCAAAGCCCTGTTGCGGATCATCGAAGTGGTGGAGGCCAACTACCCTGAGACGCTGGGCCGCCTTCTCATCCTTCGGGCGCCCAGGGTATTTCCTGTCCTCTGGACACTGGTGGGTTTAGATGCTGTTTTACAGTAACTGTTAGCCATTGGGAGAGCAGATATGCATTCATCCATTTATACATGTCTACGATCCTAAGTCTTAACTAGTTAGGAGAAAACAAAATAAACATGCAAAGATGTAAGATTTCTCAAACTGTTTAGTGGGGTAAAAAGGCAAAATTTTTCGATGTCCCCATGCCATACAAATGGACTTTACAGAAAAAGTATATCAAACTTAAATTCCACCCCCACTCATAACATCACATTGTAATTTTAGTCTTTGAAAACCAGACCGCAAAGCAAATGTGACTACATGGTCTTTTCTAATTACTTACAGGTTAGTCCGTTCATTGATGACAACACCAGAAGGAAATTCCTCATTTATGCAGGAAACGACTACCAGGGTCCTGGAGGCCTGCTGGATTACATCGACAAGGAGATCATTCCAGATTTCTTGAGTGGGGAGTGCATGGTGTGTATCAGGCAAGGAACTGCACATCTGGCTACTTATGAAGTTAGGAGAGGTGGATGCTGGTTTGCACATATGGTTTTCAGAACTTTTAGTTTGGATTATTTTTGTTTTGTTTTTGGCTGTCATCTCTTTGATCCAGGGTTAAAGTAAAGAGACCCATTTAGGTAATTATTGATAACGTACATTTCTCCATTGTTTTGGAATCTAATATAATTGCAGCTTGCTTTATTCACACACCTTTGCATGAATCAGATCTTTTAATTATTTTAGAGGAGCTGTGCATTTTTTAAAAATACTGTTAAAAAATTGAATCAGTCCTCAAGAAGATTATCCCCTTGACAGTAAATAAATCAGGATAACATTTAAAGTGAACAAATTAAGGGAACTGGTTCTCTTTTTTGTGAGTTTGGGATTTTTAATACATTGAGTTGCTGGATAATTAGGCAAAGGCCTCCAAATCTGTACCGTGTGCTATGATGAAGGAATCAGAGAAGCTCGGAACTTTGAGACCCTTACGGCCCATGGTGCACAATTGCCTGATGCAATCCTTAAGGAAACCAAAGCCTGCAGACATCCAAGTGACTGTTCCATGGCACACGGTGGCAGCTGAAGCCAGAACCATGGTTATCAGAGAAAGGATCTGTAGTCATCCTTCATACTAAAACTATCCTTTAGAGATGTGTACACACTGGATTTCACTCATGGATTCAGCTAATGAGTTGGGTTTTCAGGGGAATCTTTCTGAGTGGTTAGAGGAATTTAGAAAATATATGAGTTTGGCTCTTAGTTCATCAGTTCTGTTTTAAGGAAATTGCAGGCATAATCACAGTACAAAGCCAAGAGCGAGTATATTATAGGGCCATAACTTACCATACCTGTGAGATTAAACCATGGGGTCAGGTCTGTGGAAGCCCATAAAATGTTGTTGTATGAGCTAACGGTCCCATGTTGTTGTGCCCTCTAATTATGACTAGAAAAATCAAGCTGCGCTAGAGGCTTGACTCACGGCAGATCGCTCTGCGTTTGTCCTACCCTGACCACTGTGAGGTGTTTGTCATGTCAGTAGTCTTCCTAATTAGTTGAGCTGTCCCACTTTGGCTTCATGAGACTTCTCCACTCTCCTGTGCTGTGTGCAGGGTGGCTACTAAAGAGGCCTTCTGCTTTCCTCTGGCTAGAGGGTTTTACGATCCAAGTACTAACCAGGCCCGACCCTGCTTAGTTTCCCAGATCAGATGAGACCAGGTGCGTTCAGGGTGGTATGGCCATAGACTAGAGGGTTTTTAACTACTGGTTGGTCTGGTATTTTTCTAACATATCATTGCTCTGACACTTTTCCATTCATGCTATACTGCAAGCTGAAGCTGAAGGCTGTATGGTCAGGGCCCTTGCCTCGGGTCCAGTTGGCTGTGGTTTTAGCACAGCCTTTGTAAGCAGATTGTGTGTGTGTGTGTGTGTGTGTGTGCGCACGCGTAGTTAGTATGCATGTGCACCAATGTATCTTTTTAGTTTTGTTGCTATTCTTGTGTTTTTTAGGGAGAGAGAGAGGAGTTTTAGTGAAGCAGGCAGGCGGGCATCTGCCTCGGGCGTCTGCCCAGCGCAGCCATGCTTTCCAACCTATGGCTCCAGGGACCTTTTGGCGGTTACCTAGCTCCTAGACCTGCGTGTAAAGGGTCGGGTTGACCCAGCCTGGCGTGTGAGGGGTCTGGTGACCCACCCTGGAGTATGAAGGGTATGTGACCCAGTCTGTGAATGGGCTTGAGGGCTCTGGGAGCTCCAGACCCAGCCCTAGCTCAACAGTCGGCCCACTCGGTACAGGATTACTGGCAGGTAAAAGAGCCTGACAACTAGTGTGGTCGTGTAGCTAGACAATTGGCGTCACAAACAGGATTAAGAGCAGTACAATTGGCGCTATGAGCAGAATGCCCACACTGTAGTATTTGTTTCCTTTTTTTGGCAGCCCACCAGTACAGGGGTCTGAACTCTTGAGTTTGGCATCACAAGGCAACGCTCGGACAAACTGAGCCTGCCTGCAACCCTTGTACTGTTTGTTTCCTGTGCAGTTGCCTCCCGGGGATGATAATTTAAAGAGTACTTGGATTTTGTGAACTTGAGTATGAAGTCATTGTGTTAAGATTAATTAGAAAATTTTTGATATGTACAAATCCTAATTCAAGCTGGTGTTATAGACTAGTGGTTTGACTTGGGTTATACATGAAGCTTTATTCATTGATTATATATTTTAACTATAATTTAATATCATAAAAGTAATGCCTGTAGCTGTTGAGAATAAACTCTTTTCTTAATGTAATGTTCTTCCTTTACAGTGCCGTCTAAATACTTGTAATTCTTATGTAAACCATCTTTAGTAATTGAGTCCCGCACCTCATGCACGTTAGTGTGAATCGTGGTAAATCAGCTTTCACTTGTTCTCATTTATTCATAGTAAAACACATGGATCTAAGTGGTTTAAAAAACAGTTTTGCAGGGGCCGGCCTGGTGGCGCACTGCTACAGTGCGCCGCTTGGGAGTGCGGCGGTGCTCCCGCCGAGAGTTCGGATCCCACATGCAGACCGGTTCCCGCTTACTGGCTGAGTGAGGTGTGGGCGCAGCACCGAGGGTTGCGATCCCGTTGCCGGTCCGGGTCCGGTATGGGGGCGACACTGAGGGGTGCGATCCGTTGCCAGACACAAAAAAAGACAAAAAGGAAAAAAAAAACAGTTTTGTTAAGGAGTATAGAGTGCTTTACAGCATTGCCAGTGTTTTCCATTTTCTAAGCATCGAGCTCGTCAGGATGCGGGCCTCAGCTCGCGTGGCTTTCAGAGCATCCACCTGTATTTGCATAGCTTTCATTGCTGTGTTTACCTTTCCAGTGTGAAGTGCCAGAGGGTGGGCTGGTTCCCAAATCCCTGTACAGGACTGCGGAAGAGCTGGAAAACGAAGACCTCAAGCTCTGGACTGAGACCATCTACCAGTCTGCGAGTGTTTTCAAAGGAGCCCCGCACGAGGTACTCCCTGCACCCGAACGTGGAGCCCCCCGGGAGGGAGCATGGCCAGCGGCCTTCTGGACGGGTTTACTTTAGAACAATCAACTTGTTCTTCTGGTCTTTGTCTTTAGGTTTTTGTTTGCACTTGATATTTAGTTTTGGTAAATGTCAACACTGAGGAACAGGTCTCTCTCAGGTTAGAAAATAGCCATGCTTGAGCAGAGTACCTTGACAGGAAATGTGGTTTCTTGACCTCCATTTTGCTGGAGATGCTTAACACAGAGATATGGGTAGCATGTCTTTCCTTGTGAGATTTTTTTTTAACTCTTGAGCCTATTTTACTTAATGGTTATATAGAACAAGTTTTATTTGCTATTTTTTTCTTGACTAGGTTTTGGTTATTTATATTTTTTAAGGAATTTGCCAATTTTTGTAAGTCTAATGGAGTAGGAGAAACGAGCACATCTCTATTTTCTGTTCTTGCTGTGACATTCTGGTGCAGAAGGAAAAGCATCCTGTGGTTTTACATAACCATTTGTCTTGTAGCATCATGAGTGACGTGAGGCATGAGGGACCCACAGCAGCAGCACCCTTTCCTTGGCTCTAGGGCAAGGCTTGTGGCTTGGAGTTGTTGGGAGGACCATGGCACTCTACACAGAGCAGGTGTCCAGTGAGAGCATAGCGCTGGATCAACCAGGAGCAGACCACTTACTGCTTTCCACCAGGTGGCACCTGGGCAACCACCTGCTGGCATGTTTCCCGTATGCTGAACTTGACACTCGTGGGGCATTTAGATGAGGGACTGCTGGTGCTGTGCTTTGAAGCAGCAGAGACAAATTCAGTGTGCTGTATTCACAGATTCTGCGGGGGGACCTCAAATGTTCTGGACTGTCTTAAGGATTATTTGTATTAATTTCTTCTTTAGGCTAGAGCAGGCTGGAGGAGGCAGAGCCCTGGTTGTTTCTTAGGTATCTGTCCATCTTTGTCCCACGTCACAAGAACTTAGGGGTGCAGTATGTTTCATGAGAGTCACAGGGCATCTGTAAACGTCAAATCAGCAAAAGCTTCAGTTCTGCTTGGAGGATTAAGTAAAGCACGTCAAAGACAGTAATACACCTAAGATGAAGGCTGAATTAGATATGCCCATTGTGACTGCGGGCAAGAGGGTGCTATTAAGTGTAGGGGGCTAGGTTTGGTGGTAGTGGTCCGTGGGGAGCCACTTTGCTGAAGAGAGGGAACTGTGCCATTTAGTGCCACTTGCTGTTCTTAGACGGGACTATTGTGCTTCATTGAACCTGATATTTAGGGAAATTCTGAAGTGGCATTTTAGTGGTGAGAAGTGGCAGTGGTGGATTGAGGAAGGAGCCTGGTGGCAGAGCAACAGAGTGCTGAAGAGCACGGCAGGTGTTGTGCAGAGGGCTGAGCAAGCAGGTTCCAGGGAAGGGAGTGCCTGCCTGACTTCTGCCGCTGCCTTCAGCAGGAAGTTTTTACTGAATACGGGACTCAGTACAGCTGCTTTTAATTCTCACATTTCTCCCACACGAATCTTTTGAAACTGTAACTTTGATCATTTCCTGCTGGGAGACTTTATATTGGCACAGTTTACAGTTCAGGTTTTAGATTGGCACTCAGCACCTGGGGTATTTACCACCCCCGCCCCTGCCGTGCCACGCAGCTCACGTCCTCCCACAGCCTCAACCGCCTCCACCCCCTCAGGTGAACCCCAGGCAGGCAGGCCCGGTCCTGTGCTCCCACCTCCCCCTTTGCTCAGACACTGCCATCTTGCTCCTCCGCCTGCTCTTTGTTTATTTAGCATCCACCTTCTCCTGGGCCTTCCTGTACTCTCCAGCCCAAAGCAATCCACTGAGCCACTTATGAACGATCTCACAGGGTTTGTTTTGTGTTATTAAGACCCAGTCTCTTAGGATGCTGTCTGAAGATCATGTTCTGGGAAATCTTTGGACTGTAGGTGTAGATCACAAAGAGCACAGAGCTTAGTATGTGACACGTGGCAGGAACATTGGTTGAAAGAAGGAAAAGAGTCAGTGGGAGGCCCGGACGGGTTGAGTAACTGGGTAAAGAGATTGGCTGATCCAGACCCATTTCTCCCCCTCCCCCAACACACACATCTGGGCCAAAAAGCCCCTGGAGGGGAAGATGCTGTCATGGCCCCACCGTGGGGCCTCATGTTCCTGGATCTTGGTGGGCTGATGCAGTTCCTTTTTCCAGATTCTCATTCAGATTGTGGATGCCTCTTCAGTGATCACTTGGGATTTTGATGTGTGCAAAGGGGACATTGTCTTTAACATCTATCACTCCAAGAGGTCGCCACAGCCACCTAAAAAGGAGTCCCTGGGGGCCCACAGCATCACTTCTCCAGGCGGGAACAACGTGCAGCTCATAGACAAAGTGTGGCAGCTGGGCCGTGACTACAGCATGGTGGAGTCGCCTCTGATTTGCAAAGAAGGAGAAAGCGTGCAGGTAAAACCAGGCATCTGTGACCTGCAGCGGGACGATTCTGCCCGGAGAAGTTAAGAATCTTTTGCTTCACTCCTAGCCTTGCAGCTCTCGAAACACTGTCCATAGGAGGGCAGTTAGGTGTGTCCAGTGCACATATGCTTCTTGACAATTAGAGTGACTCAGGAAGCCATGTGAGTCTTAGAAGAAAAAGAACTCCAGCCTAAACCTTGGTTTTGGACAGAATCCATCACTTGTATCTCAAGTGCATGAATCTTCTCTAGAAGTATTTTTACAAAAATGACATGTGACAGGATGGAACAGGCGTTATGTACACATATACAGCTGGGCTTCAAAAGACTTCCACTGAGATATAATTTGACCCTGTTGCATTTGTCATCTTCAAAGGAAAATCACCCTAAATAGAAGTGAGAGGAAATAAGTACTTAGGGACTATTAACTCTCATTACTGAACATTCTAATTTATTTGAAAATGCTCTGTCAGTTCATTTTTAACATTTTGGCCAGTTATTTTGAGTGCTTGTGCTCATAATGGTAGTTTTTTGGGTGCTTCTGGCCTTCCTAATAGTTGCATAATTTTGCTGTCTTTACAGTTTTCAGGCATAAGGCTGTCAGTGTTGCAGTGGTCTTAGGTGCAGAGTAAAAGAGAATGTTTTATCCCATTTTTAAAACAATGAACATTTTAAGCTGCATCACAGTCTTTAATTCCAGAGTTAATGGAGAAAATAATTTTCACATATTGACATTTTACTTCAGATTGATATCGTTTTAACCTGGAATATGCTGGTAAGATGATTGGAGGCCTGTCAGAGAAAGTACTGCCTGGGCCAGAAAATCTTTGCTCAGCCGCCTTCAGCCCGAGAGGTGCCTGCTGCTGAGGGCAGCAGACACGGAGTCTGTCCCTGTGGCCTTCCCAGCACCTGGCAGAGGCCTTGACACAGGGTTGACACTCAGTAGGTGGAAGGACATTATAAGACCAGTTTCTGATAGTGAACCCAAATAGCATGTCTTCAATTGCGTTGAGATGGTCACATAATTACTGTTAAATACAGTCAGACTTGGACACAACTCCCTCTGGCATTTGTCAGATTCATTTTAGGAAAGGGACCTGGAAGAATGTCACACTCAGCTGCCACTGCCTTACTTGTTCTAGGGCTCCCATGTGACAAGGTGGCCGGGCTTCTACATCCTGCAGTGGAAATTCCACAGCATGCCAGCATGTGCTGCAACCAACCTGCCCCGCGTGGATGACGTGCTGGCCTCCCTGCAGGTCTCCTCTCACAAGTGCAAAGTGATGTACTACACTGAAGTGATCGGGTCTGAAGATTTCAGGTATGGGCTCCCCTCCCCATAGCAGATGCTGCCTCGAGAGCCAGGTGTGGTCAGGGGAGGCTGGAGTTCCGTGCCATGTGTAGGATCAACGGTGGGGGTGGGTCTAGGGGATACTCAGGGAGTCGCTTTGGGATCATTCATCAACTCTGCGACTCTGAGCAGACTTTGCCTTTGCTTAGTTCACGATATAATCTGTGCACAGGCCTGGGAAGCCACATCCCCCCAGCGGGACACTCATAACCTATCCCCACTTTGGAAGTGCTGACAGAGACAGAGTAGAGGGGAGCAGAGAGCAGGATTGACTGGGAAGTCCAGCAGGCCAGGTGGGCAGGTGGGCGGCTCATGAGGGGGTCCTCACACCTTGTCCCCTCCCTGTGCCATTTGCAGAGGTTCTATGACCAGCCTGGAGTCCAGCCACAGCGGGTTCTCCCAGCTGAGCGCTGCCACCACCTCTTCCAACCAGTCTCACTCCAGCTCCATGATTTCCAGGTAGTGCCATGACACCCATGCCTACTGTGTGGAGGGGACAGCCACCCCTCCTCGGACAGCCAGCTGCGCTCCGCCTGTCCTCCCGCCAAGTGGCGACATTGTGCAGACTCCTCTCACTCTCTAGATAGCAAGTAGCTCTCCAGATGGTAAATTTAGTCGTTTGATCCCAAAACTATCTTGACCAGTAGTTTTAACTCTAACCGTAATTTTAACTCAATAGCCATAGACTTTGTATACAGCGTGCACAAAATCCAACCAGGGCACAAGGGCTCTCTTGAAAGAAAAGCAGTTTATATACAGTTGAGAGACTGACTTTTTCTCAAATGTTGATGCAAAAAATTTTTCAACAAACTCCACATGGTCCATTAGCGAATGAATTCCTACACCGCCCTTCAGAAACAAGTCCCACCTTCTCACATGGAACAGAACCTGCTAACTTGTTTCCCTGAACCGCATCGCAGCCCTCACATCCCCTGCTGTTGGTCGAGATGGTCCGTGGATTCACCCTCCAGGTTCCTTTTCCTCTGAGGGTGCGGAGGCAGCCTGTGGGAGCACCTGCTCCCGTGGCCAGAGCCACCTGAGACTCTAAAGGGGGTGCTGGTGGCTCAGGAGGGACCCTTGTGGACTCCCCACGACTCCAGGAAAACGCTGCCATCATTAAATGTTACCTTCTCTTTCCTTCTCTTAAAATCCTTTTGATAATTTTCAGACAAGGATTTTTCTGTATGTGAACTCGGGTGGAGGGGATTCTTTCTCTTTTTTCTTGTGCTGTGTCATTCTTTCTACCTGCAAAATGTTAGTTCTAAACTCACTGTAGATTTATCTCCTTTGTGCTCTCTAGGAGCTTTCTATCCTCAGAGCCCAGATAGTCCTTCTAGGCACTAGAGGGTATTTTGGAAAGTGAGTAAGTCAACATTTGCCGTTTTGACACCATGCACAGTGTTTGCTTTAGCTAGCCAGCATACTCCCCGTGTTGCCACTTCAGGATGGCATGTGGCTTGCAGGAGCCTGGCTCCTTTGTAAATGGAGATTGTGGACTCACGTATGTGTGTGTGTGCATGTGCATGTGTGCATGCGTGTGCGTGCGTGTGACAGTGGGGTGCTGGTGGGGATGGGGCTAATAGAAACTTAATTGGAGTAAGAAAGGACTCTTCATAGAAGCAAGTCAGAATATAACAATAGTTTATCTTTTACATCTTCTTTTTGATTCCCAGTTACAAAGCCTGCTGTATCTTGGACAGGCCCTCGTTTTTTCAGCTCATTATGGGAAAAGCAGATTATTTGCGAATCTTGCCAGAAGTTGCATAGAGTTGGTCTCTGTGATAGACATGCAGTGTGTGTTTTTGTGTGTGGCAGAGGCTATACTTTTAAAGATATGTGCCAAAAGCCGCACAACCATTACCTGTGTGTGTGATAGCTACATAAATCCTAGATCGTGCTGTCTTTACTCTGAAGGCATGAGGTGGAGGCCGCGTGTGTGCCCCGTGGTGGGAGGTGGCGGGAGGGCTTGGGGAGACCGAGCAGCCCTCCCCCTTGGTCAGGTAAACCCTGATGGCTACCCTGAAGACGTTCCTGGGCCTCTCCTGTGAGTGCCTGCCTTCCTGGACCACGTTAGTGTTTCCTTTTAAAGGACGAGCTCCTCACTGGCACCTAGAGCCTTGTTTCCAGAAAGTGCAGTAGGGTTAGCTAGTACATCTGTGCTGCTTCCAGTCAGTGCTTCTGTTTCCAAATTATAAGGACCTGAAGATGGTCCCTTCTTTCTCTTTCTTTCTCTCTTTTTCTGTGTCTCAGATGGCGATTTTGCTGACAGCTACCAAGAAAGCGCTTCACAGTAGGGTTAGCTAGTACCCAGAAAGTGCAGTAGGGTTAGCTAGTACATCTGTGCTGCTTCCAGTCAGTGCTTCTGTTTCCAAATTATAAGGACCTGAAGATGGTCCCTTCTTTCTCTTTCTTTCTCTCTTTTTCTGTGTCTCAGATGGCGATTTTGCTGACAGCTACCAAGAAAGCGCTTCACTCAACAGTCCACATGTGCCCAGAGATGATTATAGGACTGTCTGACTTGCAGCCATGTCCCCACCCCCGCCCCAGGCCGAAGAGCAGTTCTTTTTAAGTTGATTCAGAAGTGGCACTGTTTTCTCCCCAAAGAGTTTAAGAGTTCAAAGCACATGACTGCACAGATGCTCGCAGGGTTTTCTCAGGAGCGACACAGCACCTGACTCTCCTCGTAGGGAAGGAGGGGCGTGTGTGGCTGGATTAGGCGGTCCGTGGTGTGTCGCTCCTCTTAGCGCCCTTCACTCTCTTTAAAATGCTGCTGTCATTTCCCTTTTTCCAGTACTAATGATTCTATTGGTTTTTCCCTCTTATTACTACTGTCTTAATTCATTTTCCTTCCTAAATTCATTATTTGCATATCAAATTCTGTACATGTTTTATAAACATATTACCTCACTCTTGGTAATACAATACTGATAGTCTTTAAAAGATTTTTTTATTGTTATCAATAATAAATGTGAACTGTTTAAAGAAAAGAATGTGTTGGGGTTTTTTTTGTAAAACGGCAGTCTACCTTGAAGAGTTTGAAATTCTTAGGAGACTTTAGAGATTGATGAAAGAAGGGAGCTTCCAAAGCCAGAGTACTGGTGTTCTAGAAGTTCAAGAAAAATGCTTAGCTTGTACAGGGCTGTGTTTTACAGGAGAGTGGACCATCCTACAGACATATTGCAAGTGTGAGTTTGCTGGTACAGAAGAGAAAGCCAGTGCACATAATCCCTTGCTGCTGTAAGAAGACATGCCATGTTTTTTCTTAAACTCAGCCAGCTCAAACAGGACTATCATGGCATGATCCCTGAGGTGATGTTTATTTAGTAATAAAATGGATCACCTTCAGCAGGTACCTGAGAGAAAATAAAGTGGGCAGGCATGGGCCTTCAGAGCCTGGCTTACCTTATCCCTGGCTCCCCTGACCATTGGCTGGTCTGCAGTAGCAGCGTAACCAGAGGGCAGGGCAGCTGCTGTCTCAGTGAAGGCAGAGAGCAGCCCATTGCCAGCTTGCCAGATGCAGAAGCCAGCGCCTCCCTCATCAGGAACTGCGAGCTTGTTCGCTTTCCTAGTCAGCGTCTGTTCTTCCTGGGACATGGCAAGGAAGCAGGGGACACCTGAATGTGCATGCGTGTCTGTGACTCAGCCTGGTTTATGCGTTTGTCCACAGGCAGTCAAGATAGGTAACTTCTCAGCTGCACCTAAATCACTTAAGATGACTTAGCCAACCTGCTGTGGAAGGCAGGAAAGGATTTTTACATGAATTCTATTTATGCTTTAATGTTTGTGTCTCTTGTCAAGTCAGACCTACTTTTTTTTTTTTTTTTGGTGGCTGGCAAGTGTGAGGATCCAAGCCCTTGACCTTGGTGTTACAGCGCTGTACTCTAACCTAGGCCTGCTTTTACCAAACCTTTAGTTTAGTGGTCAGATTCTCACAGCAGAAGCCAGAGGCAGCATGGAAATCAGCGAGGGTCGTGAACATCCTTTACCTGCAGTCCATCTCTTGACTGTCTTCAGAAGGTGCCACACTAGGGCTGGCCCGGTGGCACACTGGAGAGTGCGCCGCTTGGGAGTGCAGCGGCGCTCCC